TTTCCTTTTGTTTTCCTATTGTCTCCTCCCTTCTTTTCTCCTCATATCCCTCCCACGGTGAGGTCATTGTCAGTTCATATAGGCTTCTAAACACTTCAACTTGGGCTAAACATATAGCAAAAACTTTGATCCTAGATGGGGGACTAAATAGTTTTTGCTAACTCAGAAGAAGATCTATCTCTGAATGTCATTTTTGACCAGGGCAGGTGACACAGCCCATTCACTTGTATTGCCAAAGCCAATGATCAGCCACTTGTAATATGCTGAAAAGCCCTTTCTGTGTTTGCAGTCACTGCTTGTATCTTACCTTACCAATCCATGGGGCAGTTTTCCATGCATCCATCATACATATTTTAGAGCTATTGCTTTAGTGACTTACTAGGTTATTAAACAATCATAGTGCTCTATTTCAAAGGTAAAAGTAGTGTTGTGGAAAATAAAATAGTTACTCAGATCTACCATTACAGAACAAGACTTAAGTCTCGTGTTTGAGATCTGTGGAATAAAAACAAAAATAAAAATAAAAGCTCTCAATTGGGTAGGTCATGCCTTTAATCCTGGCACTTGGAAGGCAGAGGCAGGTGGATCTCTGAGTTTGAGGCCAGCCTGATCTACAGGGTGAGTTCCAGGACAGCCAGGGTTACACAGAGAAACCCAGTCTTGAAAGAATAAACAAAAATGCCCTCAATGAATCATGATCAGTAATGACATGACAGAGAACTTCCCTGCTAGCAGTTTCCATTGGACAAAGAAAAAGCAATGGGTGAAACACTGCAAATAGGTAAATATCAGCCAAAGAACCAGACTTTTAAAGACAGATCTGCCCCCCTATATATATTCAAGACTAAGACAGACTTGCTTATATCAAGTGTGCATACGTAACACCAGCATATATTATGCAGTTCTTTGCTTGAATTGTGTGCATCTAAACACAAAACTTTAGATATTTTATGTGCGTTAAAATGAGTCTCACACCCAAAGTAGGGGCTACTTTATTCCCATTTAAAGAGATTTCCGGTTGGGGCAGAAAGGGAAAAAGAGTCAATGCTGCTATTAATTTTTTTACCTTTATTTATTATTGAGTTTATCTGACCTTTATTTATTATGGGGGGTTCGCTTTAGCTCAGCTGGTAGAGTGGGCAAGCAGAAGCCCTGATTTAGATCACCAGCTCCACACCGTCCTTCACTACATAGGAAGTTCAAGACAAGCCTGGCATATATGAGATCTAAATAAATGAGTAAATAAAATGACTCACCCTCACGCACTTTCCATATAACACATTTGCTGTACAGACTCAGAGTGACACACCATTCTCCTCTACAACACTGAAGGACTAGAAGGGGCCTGCCTGGCCCCTCATTTGGATGAAAAGGGGGAGTGTTTCCTCAGATTGTCTAGGAAAGAGGGTGGCTCTCAGTGTCTTCCAATCACCCCTGCTGTGAAGATAACTGTCAGTATGGTGTCAGCACATGAGAACTGAAAGATGGAGATTCCCCCACCCCTTCTCGTCCCCCCCCCAAAAAAAACCATGAATCTGTAGGACGGAAAAGAAAAGAAAGAATGTGATCTGGAGAAAGCGGTTCATTGGGAGTTGAGACAAAGCACGACCACCAGGTAGTGGGCCTTTCTGGACCAGCCTGGCAACACTTTGAGCTGGGGAAGTTTCCTGTCGACAAGCTGTTCCTGGAGGACACTGGGTGGCGCTCGTGGTAAAGACTTGCACTTCTTTAGGGTCTCCCCCACCAACACCACCACATATCCTTTGCAAATTTCAGCTACCCAAAGTTGAAATTACATGCTCCCTACGTGTCTCAGCGGGGAGTGTGTTACTAGAGGAGTTTGATGCCATGGGATTGTTTATCCGAGGTCGGGTCAATTGGGATTTGAGAAGTGACAGTGTCCCATCGCTGGCCTTAGGACAAAGCTTGAGGCCTTGGTGTGTCAGAACTGCCTCCACAACACCAGCAAAAATTATGACCCCGGTGGCGGCGGCGAGTATCCTTTAGAGTATGTGTCCAAAGTGCTGATCAGACTCGCAGATGGGTCTGGCAGCTCACAGACCACAGGAGTGTATTAGTGAAATGAAATGGGACTATATATTGTGAGCAGACTCCAGGCTGTCTACAGTGACCCTCTCTGGGCTGCATTTAAGAAACAGTGGTAAGAAAACGGAGCTCAACTCAGAAAAGCAGTCAAGAAAGTTGAGACGGATGAATTTCAAAGAGGCACCAAAATTTGGTGATTTCACCCTGAATTGGACTTGATACAGGGGACTCGCATCTGCATAAAAGCCAATGTTTCAGCACCTTGGGTTATATGTAAAGACGTTTGCATCCTTTTCTCATTCCTCACTCTTTTCTGATGTTCATAAAAACGTGTGTGTGTGTGTGTGTGTGTGTGTGTGTGTGTGTGTGTGTGTATCTCCACTGAAAAAAAAGGAGGTAGTAAGTGAATTGTAGCAACATCTAGAATTATCTTACCACTATAACCTTGCCTTCAACCAGATCCTGAAGTATATCTGCAGTTTCCAGTACCAGTCTCATAGGATGCTGCCTTCTCAGGAAGCTGTGAGAACCCTGATAGACTCATCCTGTGGATGAAGACCATCCTGACCTTATTTTCCTCCTGGTTATTGCATTTAAAATCCAATGAAACAGAACTGGAGGGACCGCCCATCTCTCTGTACCATTTTTATTTACCTGTAAACACTTTGACCAGCCCAAGGCATTGATTTGGAAGAGAGATTTGTACAATTAGGCTCCCTGTGTCTAAGGCAGCTCCATTGGCTAGGTGAGCATCTCCATAGCAGGCCAATAACACATCCAACAAGGTCAGCAATGTCTTTGTCTCCTTGAAGACACAGCCTAAATCTAGAACCTGACAATGGCATAAAAATCAATTGCATGTGATCAGGACCAAAGGGCAGTGGACATTTGTTAAGTCCCCTCCCCCCCATCTGTGTCAGAAGGGTAATCCAGGGGAGGCTGCAAACTCAAGATGTAGGAAAGGGTGGCCCTGTTGATTGCTAGTTCCTTCAAGCTCAGAAAAGCTGAAGTTGTCCAGCCAAGGAAAGCGACAGTAGCTGTGGTTTAATGGGGCCCAGGAGGGCATGGCTGGGAGTTGATGCAAATGTTACTGCTTCCAATTGGAACTCCAGATTCCAGAGAGGGACTGATATCCTTCTTCCAGTTCTCTGGCAGAGAGTTTAAGGCCCTGGTAGTTCTGTAGCCAAAATAAGGCTAAAGTAGCATTAGACAAAAGTCATGCAGACTTTTACTTCTTCCACTGGCAGAAGGATATGAGGAGCCAGAAGATGCACCCTGAATATTCAATGGTACTCCCAGCTTCCTGGCCATGGACCCCCAAGAGAAAGATAAAAGGAAGTCTAAAACAGGATACAACTCATGGAGTTGCATTTTTGAGGGGAGTAGAAACGGGACACGAGTGAGGATTATGATACATTCGTAAGCCCCTACTCAGTCATAACTAGAGTAAAAGCACATAGTGACAAAATAAACTTCTTTTTGGTGGTCTGTGGCAATTGTATCTATCTTGAGCCCTGTC